GGCACAGCAATGGCAGCCCCCAGTATAGGCGGCCTTTACAAAAAGCATAACTGAAGGCAAAACTGTTTTTAAAATTTTGGATGTAGTAAGGGAGGGTTAGAACCCCTGTCTATGTCCCATTGGGGGGACTTCCCTTCACTTCCTGTCCCATAGCCACAACAGGAAGTGAGAGAAATCCCTGAACCAGTGTCCCCATTGGAAGATTTCCCCTCATTTCCTGTTCTGGTGACAACCCAAAAGTTTGCGTTTAGTTACAATTTAGATGAAAACTTTCAAGAAACAATGTATCCCTGTGAAAGGCCTCCGCTGGAAGCTGTGGAAGAGAGACTGCCCTGAAGAGACAGGCCCCAATGGAAGAAGAGTGACCACTATGACAAAGAGAGACCTCCCTGGAGGAAGAGAGACCACCTGGATGAAGAAAGACCTCCCTGGAAAGAGAGATCTCCTTGAGGGAAAAGATAGACTGCCCTGGAGAAGAGAAGAGACTACTATGGGGATAATAGAGAACGTTCTGATGAAAAAAGAAGCTCCCCTGGAGAAAGAAGGACTGCCCTGGTGGAAGAGAGACCACACCTGGAAGAACAAAGACCACCATGGAAAGGAAGAAGACCACCCTGGAGGAAGAAGACCACCCTGGAGGAAAGAGAGACCAATTGGATGAAGATAGACTTCCCTGGAGTAGAGAGACTGTCCAAGAGGAAGAGAGACCTTCCTGGAGGAGGAGAGGACCAACACAAATGGACATAAAGGCTCCCCCTGGAGGAGACTGCCTGGAGAAAGAGAGAGACAGGCCCCCTGGAGAAAGACTGCTCTGGCAGAAGAGACCACCCTGAAGAGTCAGAAAGGCCTGGAGGAAGAGAGACTGCCTGCCTGGAGGAAGAAGAGAAGACCTTCTTGGAGGAGAGAGAGAGAGAGACCTTCCTGGAGGAAGAGAGACTGCCTGGAGGAAGAGAGACCTTCTTGGAGGAAGAGAGACTGCCTGGAGGAAGATAGAGCCTGGAGGAAGAGAGACCTTCTTGGAGAAAGAGAGACTGCCTGGACGAAGAGAGACCTTCTTGGAGAAAGAGAGACTGCCTGGAGAAAGAGAAAGACTGGCCCCTGGAGAAAGAGAGACTGGCTGGAGGAAGAGAGAGAGAGACTGTCCTGAAAAAACAGGCCTCCTGGAGAAAGACTGCTCTGGCAGAAGAGACCACCCTGAAGAGCCAGAAAGGCCTGGAGGAAGAAAGACTGGCTGGAGGAGGAGAGACCAACACAAATGGACATAAAGGCTCCCCCTGGAGGAAAGAGAGACCTTTTTGGAGGAAGAGAGACCTTCTTGGAGGAAGAGAGACTGCCTGGAGGAAGAGAGACCTTCTTGGAGGAAGAGAGACTGCCTGGAGGAAGAGAGACCTTCTTGGAGGAAGATAGACTGCTTGGAGGAAGGGAGACCTTCTTGGAGGAAGAGAGATTGCCTGGAGGAAGAGAGACCTTCTTGGAGGAAGAGAGAGACTGTCCTGAAAAAACAGGCCTCCTGGAGAAAGACTGCTCTGGCAGAAGAGACCACCCTGAAGAGTCAGAAAGGCCTGGAGGAAGAAAGACTGGCCTGAGGAAGAGAGATGGCCTTAGAGAAAGAGAGACACCTTGGAGAAAGAGAGACCACCTTGGAGGAAGAGAGACCACCTGTGAGGAAGAGACATTGCCTGGACAAAGAGAAACCTCTCAAGAGGAAGAGGGGCCACCAGAGGGAACAGAGTGCACCAAATGTCACCAGATCCCACAGAAGCTGCATGGCCTGTGCCAGGGAAATCATTTATCAGTTTGGCACAATGGAGGTGTGCAGTGTTCTGCAAAGAGGGTGAGGAGGCGGGATCTCGGTTTCTGTCCACCAATCATAGTTTATGGGGCCCATTGTGTTTATTGATGAAAATAAAGAGTACAGTATACAGGACACCCAAAGCTGCACTTAGATCATTTAGACACTAAGGGGCAGCAGAGCTCTTCTGGTGGAAGAAAAGTGGATCTAAACTCCAGAGCAGTGTGTTGTCACCCGGGGTTCCTCCAGAGGTTGTAGGGGTTCCCCGAGCAATGAGCATCTTCTGGCCCTCAGATATGGTCCCCCTGACACCACTGATATGTTTAGCTATCTGTAAGGAGCATTCTTCCCCCTGGCCATCACACTGGTGTATGAGGAGTCATAGACATGGTCATTGTTAGCCGGGGTTCCCTGAGACGGGAGGTTATTTCAAGGGTGGCTCCATGTTGGAAAGGTTGAGAAAGGCCGCTCCAGAGTTGGATGTAGTGTCAGGCAATGTACCCCCCAGGAGATGGGTGTCATCTGAAGTGGCTGTGTCCCCCGCAGGATGAATGAAAGAAATCTATTAGTGTTTGGCCGGCTTAGATAGAAAAAAGAACATCTTACAAGAGCAACAATGGAGCTGAAGTGTATTTCATGACTGGTCATGTGACCAGATCTGCGATGTACAATACAATGTAGGAGCCATAGGATCATGTACAGAGCCCCCTGGGTGGATACAATGTACACTATAGTGCCCCAAGTATCGGGCCGCCGGCCTTTCCACACACATGACCTGTAATGGCCCCCCTTAGTCCGTAGTCTTAGTCCCCGCCCTTAGGGTTCAATATTGAGTTGGCCCTGCCCTTTCCACACACATGACCTGTAATGGCCCCCCAGTCTTAGTCCTTAGGGTTCAATATTGAGTTGGCCCCGCCCTTTCCACACACAATGACCTGTAATGAGTTGGCCCCCCCTTTCCACACACATCTTAGTCCTTCCAGCCGTAGGGTTCAATATTGAGTTGGCCCCGCCCTTTCCACACCTTTAATGGCCCCCCAGTGACCTAGGGTAATATTGGTTGGCCCCCCCTTTCCACGCACATGACCTTTAATGGCCCCCCAGTGTTAGTCCGTAGGGTTCAATATTGAGTTGGCCCCCGCCCTTTCCACACACATGACCTTTAATGGCCCCCCAGTCTTAGTCCGTAGGGTTCAATATTGAGTTGGCCCCGCCCTTCCCACACATGACCTTTAATGGCCCCCCAGTGTTAGTCCGTATTGAGTTGGCCCCAGCCTTTCCACACACATGACCTTGGCCCCCCAGTCTTAGTCCTTAGGGTTCAATATTGAGTTGGCCCCGCCCTTTCCACACACATGACCTTTAATGGCCCCCCAGTCTTAGTCCGTAGGGTTCAATATTGAGTTGGCCTGCCCTTTCCACACACATGCACATGACCTTTTCAATGGCCCCCCAGTCTTAGTCCGTAGGGTTCAATATTGAGTTGGCCCCGCCCTTTCCACGCACATGACCTTTAATGGCCTCCCAGTCTTAGTCCGTAGGGTTCAATATTGAGTTGGCCCCGCCCTTTCCACACACATGACCTTTAATGGCCCCCCAGTGTTAGTCCGTAGGGTTCAATATTGAGTTGGCCCCGCCCTTTCCACGCACATGACCTTTTCAATGAGTTGGTCCCCCCCGCAGTCCCCCCAGTTAGTCCGCAGGGTTCAATATTGAGTTGGCCCCGCCCTTTCCACGCACATGACCTTTAATGGCCCCCCAGTCTTAGTCCGTAGGGTTCAATATTGAGTTGGCCCCGCCTTTCCACACACATGACCTTTCATGGCCCCCCAGTCTTAGTCCGTAGGGTTCAATTTGAGTTGGCCCCGCCCTTTCCACGCACATGACCTTTAATGGCCCCCCCAGTCTTAGTACGTAGGGTTCAATATTGAGTTGGCCCCGCCCTTTCCACGCACATTCTGTCCGTAGGGTTCAATATTGGCCCCGCCCTTTGCCTCTTCTGGGACACAAGGTTTAGGAGGGTGTCTATGGGAAGGTTGGACCATTCTTCCAGAAGCACATTTGTCAGGTCAGGCACTGATGTCGGGGGAGGAGGCACTGATGTCGGGGGAGGGGGCCTGGCTCGCAGTCTCCGCTCTAATTCATCCCAAAGGTGTTCTATGGGGTTGAGGTCAGGACTCTGTGCAGGACAGTCAAGTTCCTCCACCCCAAACTGGCTCCTCCATGTCTTTATGGACCTTGCTTTGTGCACTGGGGGGCAGTCATGTTGGAACAGGAAGGGGCCATCCCCAAACTCCTCCCACAAAGTTGGGAGCATGAAATTGTCCAAAATGTCACCTTAAGAGTTCCCTTCACTGGAACTAGGGGGCCAAGCCCAACACCTGAAATACACCCCCACACCATAATCCCCCCTCCACCAAACTTTACACTTGACACAATGCAGTCAGGCAAGTACCGTTCTCCTGGCAACCGCCAAACCCAGACACGTCCATCAGATTGGCAGACAGGGAAATGTGATTGGTCCCTCCAGAGAACACGTCTCCTCTGCTCTAGAGTCCAGTGGCGGCGTGCTTTACACCACGGCATCCGACGCTTTGCATTGCACTTGGTGATGGAAGGCTTGGATGCAGCTGCTCGGCCATGGAAACCCATTCCATGAAGCTCTCTATGCACTGTTGTTGGGCTCATCTGAAGGCCACACCAAGTTTGGAGGTCTTTAGCTATTGACTCTGCAGACAGTTGGCGACTTCTGCGCATTGTGTGCTTCAGCATGCACTGACCCCGCCCTGTCATGTGACGTGGCCTACCACTTGGTGGCTGAGTGGCTGTTGTTCCCAGTGGCTTCCACTTTGTTATAATCCCACTAACATTTTGAGCGTGGAATATTTAGTAGCCAGGAAATGTCACGGATGGACTTATTGCCCAGGTGGCCACCTATCACGGGACCACGCTTGGAGTCACTGAGCTCCTGAGAGCGACCCATTCTTTCACCAATGTTTGTAGAAGCCGTCTGCATGCCTAGGGGCTTGATTGTATACACCTGTGTCCATGGAGGGGATTGGAGCACCTGAATCACATGATATGGAGGGGATTGGAACACCTGAATCACATGATTTGGAGGGGATTGGAGCACCTGAATCACATGATTGGGAGGGGATTGGAGCACCTGAATCACATGATATGGAGGGGATTGGAACACCTGAATCACATGATTGGGAGGGGATTGGAACACCTGAATCACATGATTGGGAGGGGATTGGAACACCTGAATCACATGATTGGGAGGGGATTGGAACACCTGAATCACATGATATGGAGGGGATTGGAACACCTGAATCACATGATATGGAGGGGATTGGAACACCTGAATCACATGATATGGAGGGGATTGGAACACCTGAATCACATGATATGGAGGTGATTGGAACACCTGAATCACATGATATGGAGGGGATTGGAGCACCTGAATCACATGATATGGAGGGGATTGGAACACCTGAATCACATGATATGGAGGGGATTGGAACACCTGAATCACATGATATGGAGGGGATTGGAACACCTGAATCACATGATATGGAGGGGATTGGAACACCTGAATCACATGATATGTAGGGGATTGGAGCACCTGAATCACATGATATGGAGGGATTGGAACACCTGAATCACATGATATGGAGGGGATTGGAACACCTGAATCACATGAAATGGAGGGGATTGGAACACCTGAATCACATGATATGGAGGTGATTGGAACACCTGAATCACATGATATGGAGGGGATTGGAGCACCTGAATCACATGATATGGAGGGGATTGGAACACCTGAATCACATGATATGGAGATGATTGGAACACCTGAATCACATGATATGGAGGGGATTGGAGCACCTGAATCACATGATATGGAGGGGATTGGAACACCTGAATCACATGATATGGAGGGGACTGGAACACCTGAGTCAAATGAAATGGAAAGGATTGGAACACCTGAATCACATGAAATGGAAAGGATTGGAACACCTGAGTCACATGATTGGGAGGGCGGGGACAATACTTTGGGCAATATAGTGTTTAATGTATAGGGTGGATACAATGTAACATATAGGCACATTGTGAGATGAGATGTATAGTGCACTGTCAGCCTCTAGTGTAGGAAGAGGGGTATGTGGCACTGTCTCTGTCTGTCTCTATAGATGATGAAAGGGACTCTATCACAGTCTCTTCCATGGACGGTCTCTGTCGGTCTCTATACTCGCTCTCTGTCTCCATCGCAGTCTCTTCCATGGACGGTCTCTGTCGGTCTCTATACTCGCTCTCTGTCTCCATCGCAGTCTCTTCCATGGACGGTCTCTGTCGGACTCTATACTCGCTCTCTGGCTCCATCGCAGTCTCTTCCATGGACGGTCTCTGTCGGTCTCTATACTTGCTCTCTGGCTCCATTGCTGTCTCTTCCATGGACGGTCTCTGTCGGTCTCTATACTCGCTCTCTGGCTCCATCGCTGTCTCTTCCATGGACAGTCTCTGTCGGTCTCTATACTTGCTCTCTGGCTCCATCGCTGTCTCTTCCATGGACGGTCTCTGTCGGTCTCTATACTTGCTCTCTGGCTCCATTGCTGTCTCTTCCATGGACGGTCTCTGTCGGTCTCTATACTCGCTCTCTGGCTCCATCGCTGTCTCTTCCATGGACGGTCTCTGTCGGTCTCTATACTCGCTCTCTGGGCTCCATCGCTGTCTCTTCCATGGACGGTCTCTGTCGGTCTCTATACTCGCTCTCTGTCTCCATCGCAGTCTCTTCCATGGACGGTCTTTGTCGGTCTCTATACTTGCTCTCTGTCTCCATCGCAGTCTCTTCCATGGACGGTCTCTGTCGGTTTCTATACTCGCTCTCTGTCTCCATCGCAGTCTCTTCCATGGACGGTCTCTGTCGGTTTCTATACTCGCTCTCTGTCTCCATCGCAGTCTCTTCCATGGACGGTCTCTGTCGGTTTCTATACTCGCTCTCTGGCTCCATCGCTGTCTCTTCCATGGACGGTCTCTGTGACTCACGTGTCGTGTCTCTTGCGCAGGCAGTGATGGATGTGTACTGTACGCAGCCCACGTGGAGTCATTATGTTCAGTATACATGACATGATAATTACACATCATATATTCTGCATTCAGTCTGATTGGCAGCACTTACCGCGTTCCCAGCGCTGCCGCTTACCATACACCAGATGGTGGGCGGGGAAGGGACTTGGTGTACAGGTAACCCACGGGGGGGGGGGGGAGTCCAGATGAGTTCAGGTGTCTGCATTGTATGGAGGGGCCCCATAGAACCCCAGCAGATATAAATGACACCAATAACACACATATTCATGTACTAGCAGCACCTTTGCCTCTCTAGTAGTAGTCAGTCTACCAGAGAGACCATCTATAGACTGACTACTACCAGAGAGAGACCATCTATAGACTGACTACTACCAGAGAGACCATCTATAGACTGACTACTACCAGAGAGAGACCATCTATAGACTGACTACTACCAGAGAGAGACCATCTATAGACTGACTACTACCAGAGAGACCATCTATAGACTGACTACTACCAGAGAGACCATCTATAGACTGACTACTACCAGAGAGACCATCTATAGACTGACTACTACCAGAGAGACCATCTATAGACTGACTACTACCAGAGAGACCATCTATAGACTGACTACTACCAGAGAGACCATCTATAGACTGACTACTACCAGAGAGAGACCATCTATAGACTGACTACTACCAGAGAGAGGCCATCTATAGACTGACTACTACCAGAGAGAGACCATCTATAGACTGACTACTACCAGAGAGGCCATCTATAGACTGACTACTACCAGAGAGACCATCTATAGACTGACTACTACCAGAGAGAGACCATCTATAGACTGACTACTACCAGAGAGACCATCTATAGACTGACTACTACCAGAGAGGCCATCTATAGACTGACTACTACCAGAGAGACCATCTATAGACTGACTACTACCAGAGAGAGACCATCTATAGACTGACTACTACCAGAGAGAGACCATCTATAGACTGACTACTACCAGAGAGACCATCTATAGACTGACTACTACCAGAGAGACCATCTATAGACTGACTACTACCAGAGAGACCATCTATAGACTGACTACTACCAGAGAGACCATCTATAGACTGACTACTACCAGAGAGAGACCATCTATAGACTGACTACTACCAGAGAGACCATCTATAGACTGACTACTACCAGAGAGAGACCATCTATAGACTGACTACTACCAGAGAGAGACCATCTATAGACTGACTACTACCAGAGAGACCATCTATAGACTGACTACTACCAGAGAGACCATCTATAGACTGACTACTACCAGAGAGACCATCTATAGACTGACTACTACCAGAGAGAGACCATCTATAGACTGACTACTACCAGAGAGACCATCTATAGACTGACTACTACCAGAGAGACCATCTATAGACTGACTACTACCAGAGAGACCATCTATAGACTGACTACTACCAGAGAGACCATCTATAGACTGACTACTACCAGAGAGACCATCTATAGACTGACTACTACCAGAGAGACCATCTATAGACTGACTACTACCAGAGAGACCATCTATAGACTGACTGACTACTACTACCATCTATAGACTGAGAGACCATCTATAGACTGACTACTACCAGAGAGACCATCTATAGACTGACTACTACCAGAGAGACCATCTATAGACTGACTACTACCAGAGAGACCATCTATAGACTGACTACTACCAGAGAGACCATCTATAGACTGACTACTACCAGAGAGAGACCATCTATAGACTGACTACTACCAGAGAGACCATCTATAGACTGACTACTACCAGAGAGACCATCTATAGACTGACTACTACCAGAGAGACCATCTATAGACTGACTACTACCAGAGAGAGACCATCTATAGACTGACTACTACCAGAGAGAGACCATCTATAGACTGACTACTACCAGAGAGACCATCTATAGACTGACTACTACCAGAGAGACCATCTATAGACTGACTACTACCAGAGAGAGACCATCTATAGACTGACTACTACCAGAGAGACCATCTATAGACTGACTACTACCAGAGAGACCATCTATAGACTGACTACTACCAGAGAGACCATCTATAGACTGACTACTACCAGAGAGACCATCTATAGACTGACTACTACCAGAGAGAGACCATCTATAGACTGACTACTACCAGAGAGACCATCTATAGACTGACTACTACCAGAGAGAGACCATCTATAGACTGACTACTACCAGAGAGACCATCTATAGACTGACTACTACCAGAGAGACCATCTATAGACTGACTACTACCAGAGAGACCATCTATAGACTGACTACTACCAGAGAGACCATCTATAGACTGACTACTACCAGAGAGACCATCTATAGACTGACTACTACCAGAGAGACCCATCTATAGACTGACTACTACCAGAGAGAGACCATCTATAGACTGACTACTACCAGAGAGAGACCATCTATAGACTGACTACTACCAGAGAGACCATCTATAGACTGACTACTACCAGAGAGACCATCTATAGACTGACTACTACCAGAGAGACCATCTATAGACTGACTACTACCAGAGAGAGACCATCTATAGACTGACTACTACCAGAGAGACCATCTATAGACTGACTACTACCAGAGAGACCATCTATAGACTGACTACTACCAGAGAGACCATCTATAGACTGACTACTACCAGAGAGAGACCATCTATAGACTGACTACTACCCAGAGAGAGACCATCTATAGACTGACTACTACCAGAGAGACCATCTATAGACTGACTACTACCAGAGAGAGACCATCTATAGACTGACTACTACCAGAGAGAGACCATCTATAGACTGACTACTACCAGAGAGACCATCTATAGACTGACTACTACCAGAGAGAGACCATCTATAGACTGACTACTACCAGAGAGACCATCTATAGACTGACTACTACCAGAGAGAGACCATCTATAGACTGACTACTACCAGAGAGAGGCCATCTATAGACTGACTACTACCAGAGAGACCATCTATAGACTGACTACTACCAGAGAGACCATCTATAGACTGACTACTACCAGAGAGACCATCTATAGACTGACTACTACCAGAGAGAGACCATCTATAGACTGACTACTACCAGAGAGACCATCTATAGACTGACTACTACCAGAGAGACCATCTATAGACTGACTACTACCAGAGAGACCATCTATAGACTGACTACTACCAGAGAGACCCATCTATAGACTGACTACTACCAGAGAGACCATCTATAGACTGACTACTACCAGAGAGACCATCTATAGACTGACTACTACCAGAGAGACCATCTATAGACTGACTACTACCAGAGAGGACCATCTATAGACTGACTACTACCAGAGAGACCATCTATAGACTGACTACTACCAGAGAGACCATCTATAGACTGACTACTACCAGAGAGAGACCATCTATAGACTGACTACTACCAGAGAGAGACCATCTATAGACTGACTACTACCAGAGAGAGACCATCTATAGACTGACTACTACCAGAGAGAGACCATCTATAGACTGACTACTACCAGAGAGACCATCTATAGACTGACTACTACCAGAGAGACCATCTATAGACTGACTACTACCAGAGAGAGACCATCTATAGACTGACTACTACCAGAGAGACCATCTATAGACTGACTACTACCAGAGAGACCATCTATAGACTGACTACTACCAGAGAGACCATCTATAGACTGACTACTACCAGAGAGACCATCTATAGACTGACTACTACCAGAGAGACCATCTATAGACTGACTACTACCAGACCATCTATAGACTGACTACTACCAGAGAGACCATCTATAGACTGACTACTACCAGAGAGACCATCTATAGACTGACTACTACCAGAGAGAGACCATCTATAGACTGACTACTACCAGAGAGACCATCTATAGACTGACTACTACCAGAGAGACCATCTATAGACTGACTACTACCAGAGAGACCATCTATAGACTGACTACTACCAGAGAGAGCCATCTATAGACTGACTACTACCAGAGAGAGACCATCTATAGACTGACTACTACCAGAGAGAGACCATCTATAGACTGACTACTACCAGAGAGAGACCATCTATAGACTGACTACTACC